ACTCCACAAACATTATTATCACGGGCCATGACAATTTCACCAGCACAAGCAGTTCCATGGGAATCTGTTCCAACAGGAGATGGGTCACTATCATTATAGTTAAAATCATAACTGTATGTTGATACCTACAAGTACAGAAAAGAGGGACAGAGAGAAAATCTAGAATATAAAAATGATATGCTACAGTCATTTATAAAACAATTAATCATATCACAAATACACTTACATAGTTATTCCTTAGGTCTGTATGAGTATGCTCCACTCCTACACAAAAATGACTTACCAGAACAATTACATCATCTTACCATCATCCACAACACCAACTAATATTCCATTGCCAGTATATCCTTGTATCCATGCTGGTTCTGCATTCAGATCAAGGTAAAGGTTTGGCTCCCTGGTTTGACCAGTATTGTTCTACAATATAATATAATAAACAATAAGACCACTCCAAAAGATTCATAGCTTCCCATTATCCCTCCTGAATTGTACCCATCACTAATTCACTATTCATTATTGCACAGGGAATAATGAATTAATTTAATGAAAATAAACAACCACCCAGACATGGAGTGACTTAAACTTAAATTATGTACCATCTAGTTATACTTACAACTGTCCACTGGCTACCCCATAGTCGATCTCCCTGACTTGTTGGCTGAAAATATTTCTTTTCCCAGTTATGTAAACTCTGCTGTTGCACATACCCTACCTGTATCATAAAAGATTACATTATAAACATGTTCGGATACTGGATACCAATAAAAATTCCCTTTCTGATGAAGAGAAAGCAATCAGAAAAGAAAGAGAGAATTAGAGAAAGGATTGAGATAAAAGAAAGATGTGCAGTATCAGTCCTTAATAGTAATGAGCACAATAAAAGTATTTGCATTATGCATGAGTTATAAGATATCAGATAAGTTTTTTGTGTTAAATATAAAATGTGAGTTTAATTTGAAATAATGGTATTTTACAAGCATAAAAGTTTTATAGTGTGTGCACAGGCCCAGCCTATGCATAGAATTGAGGTTGGCTTTTGAGATGGTGGCCTTTCTGTAATCTTCAACTGAGCTATCTTACTTTTTATACCCTTATAAATGGCTTAGATTAGCTCACTTCCACCAGGCAATTCTCCTAGTATACTTTAAAGTTGACTGTAATGTAGCAGAAGCATTTTTACAGATACTATTCTTCAGACTTTTTGTTTCATCCTTCCATCCAAAAATAGTCTTTTAAGCCAAAAAAGTGCTCAAGTTGGTTTTTCATTCCTTAGCGGACCATAAAGGTGTTTTTAAAAAGAAGCCGGAAAGAACAGTAATACAGCACTGCATGAAGGATATGGCACTAAGCCACACATGCAGACTCTATTATAACAACATGAAGTCTTCATCTTTCATGTAATGGGATAGGATTTTGGCACAAATAGATACCCTCAGGCTCTTGTTTCCTTACTTTCTTTCCATTTCAATCGGATTATCTTACTATATATAGTTGTGGAAAAAGTCATAATTTTTCATTTTAAATCTGCAAATATTAATAAATGCAAAAGTTTGAACCTCAGCAAGGAACAAATAAACAAAATTGTAAGCTTACGTTTATCTCTGACTTGAGAGTAGTTCTCATGTATTGTATTTCAGTACCGGATTTAATATTTTCATCATTATTAGCCGAGGAGCTCATTTTGAAATGATAAATATTAGCAAAAGCACCAACCTGGCAATATCATGATATTTCATTAAGTATTATTTATCCCTTACTCTTCCCATGTTTGTGAAGCCATGTCTCTCTGCAATCTCATTAGCAGCTTCAATTCCACCATGAACCTCAACAGCCCAGCTATCAGTAAAGACTGCTGCTGCAGCTGGCCGTTGGTTCTGCGCTTTAAAGTAAGCACCAATATCAGCAGCAACAATACTGAGAGTCACAGTTAACAAAAACAACGAGGAGGCCATCTTCTCTGAGCTGCACTCTATGTTTTGCATGCGTAGACAGTTATTGTCACACCCACCCACTTGATTATCTTGTTGTTTATCATAACTGGTAATCACATATTCATTATTAATTTTGAAGAATTCTTTTTGCAATTTTTGACAAATTTTGGTTCAATTTTGGAGGCAAGTTAAAAATTTTTTTGAAAAATCCAATTTTGATTGGAATCAAATGCATGCAAATATACACCTACAAGTTCCTGATGCTATAATAGAGATGTCCATAAATTTCTTTGCAGTTCTTTTCTTGTACTTGTGGAACACTGAGCAGGAAGGATTGAAGAGAGTCCACAGTCAGTTAAAGGAGTATTTTATACCAGGAGCTGATTTCAATATCATGTACACCTTCATCCTCAGGCAAATGGGCATCACTGACAAATTTAATCAATTAGCTGTTGGCTAATCCCTGTTTGTGGGTGTGTAGATCAAATTTAAAAATAACCATTGCGTGATTACTTGGACAGGTTTCATAAACATAAATGTCCATGTTTGCTAAGTGCATTGGCTTTGATGTGAATTGACTACAATAACAACAAGAAGTAACTTCACATAAGCAGATGAAAACTTGACTGGAAAACAACTTCATTTTTCTGTAGTAGAAGTATGAGAATGCTTTTTTCGATAACTTTTTATATTTAGTCCACAGCAATATTCATGGTGAGTCTAGGTAGCTCAAGGAGAGCACCTTCTGCTATGGATGGAA